CTTCGGACCCCCACATCCCACATCAGAATGCCTGGCTTGAGTCCAATTCAGCTTCCTGCTGATATACATCCTGGGAGGCAGGTGATAGCTCAAAAACTTGGATCTCTGTCGTTGATATGGGAGACCCAGATGGTGTTCCCTGTTCCTGGTTTCAGCCTGTCACACCCCTGGCTGTTGCAGGCATTTGAGGAGTGAACCAGCAGATGGAAGATTCTCTCTCTCTCCCTCTCTCTCTCTCTCTTTTTCTCTCTCCCTCTCCCCCCCAACTCTTGTTCTCGTTCTGTCTCTCTCTGCCTTTCAAACAAAATGAATTTTTTTTTTATTTCAACAAGTTTACTTTAAAGACCTAATTGGTTTTTTAATAACAAGTCATGAATAGGGTAACCTTCCCTCTGAAAATTTAGAAGAGGCGCTCTGACAAGCTGAGCAGACGAGGCGGGGGTTATAGACAGAAAACGGCCAAAAAAAGCAGAAACAGAGCAGCAGAAGGGATTGGAAGTTCCAAATTATTTTCCTGAAAGGGTTAAACAAGCTCAGGTAAACTGGGCCTCTCCTGAGTGGTTGCCATGAATCTCTTGTTTTCCAGAAAACTGGAAGGTGTGGCACTTAGCGTAGGTGACCCCATTCTGTGTTGGTCCTTTCTGCTGGCTCTTGTGCAAGGGCTCAGTGCAAAGCAGTGGCCTCTTCCTATAAATTTTGCTCAGCAGCGGGGTCCTGCCTGTTCCCTCCACCTGCCTCGTACACTTCCATAATGCCTCCATCTCCTTCCAGAAGCCTGCTGCATGCCACTCCTCCCTTTGTGGCTGTTCTGCCTCTGTCCCTACCTGCTCCCTCAAGCACCCCTCAAGTCCTCCACCTGTCCCCCCTTTTCCACCTTGGCCCCCTTCTGCCTTCAGGGTGAGGGCATCACACCAGAGCACCAGAGCACGAGATGCACCAGGGGGTGAGTCTCTGCACCAAACACCCTGCGTCAATGGTCAAGTGCAGGCCGCTTGTTTGGCTATGGCCAACATCTGTTCTCCATCCCTGACAGCCCCTCCAGCCACTCCACTCCCCATGGTGGGGTGCAGGCTGTTCCACAAGGCAGATGGAACTGCTAGGCCACACACACACACACACACACACACACACACACACACTCACACTCAGCGACTCCAGGCTTCCCAGAAATGCCCCAGGGAGGTGGAGCAGCAGCCCTGGCTGCCAGCTGCTCTCTTAATTAAGGAATGCAGGGAGTGGCCCCTTTGAACTCAGCAGCTAATTTACTCCAATGCACCCCCCCTGTGGCTGGGTAATTAATGTGGTGTGAACCAGTGATTAGCAGTGGTGGGGAGAGCCTGCCTGCCTGCCGCAGACTTAACTCTTCCCTGCACCTGGGAGGAAACACCTTCAGTTCATCTTTCTGCAGTTAGCACAAGCCCAGCATTTCCCAGTCCTCATCCAACCTCCTCCTGGCCGCTTCCGCAGCTTCCCCAAATTCCCCTCCAAGGGGCGTGGGCGGTGGGAGTGGGGTAGACTGCAATACTGCAATTGATTTCCTGCTGGGTGGACCACCATGAGCAACCCTGCTGCTGAGAGGGAATGCAACTGCCCACTGCCTCCTCCAAAGGAATTCAGGATCTTCACCCAACGCTGGCAACACCTCTGCCCCTACAGCCCTCCCAGCGCAGAATCATCCAGTCCACCTGACAGATGCTAACAGGGCATCCCCTCCTGGGAAGTTTGACCTCGACCTTGACCCTGTCTCTTTTGGACCTTTAATCAGGCTTGGCTCCGAGCCCCATCCCTTATCCTATAAAAAGACAACCCCAGACTGGGTGGGGGCAATCCTCTCTCTTGAGCTTGTCCATGCTCAAGCCTGAGCATATACTATCCACTTAGTCTTTCTACAAAAGCCTTCTGTTCACCCTCTCACATTCCTTTTCTAAAAAGATTTATTTATGCATGTATTTATTTATTTGAAAATCAGAGTTACAGAGAGAGATGAGAGACAGAGAGAGGAAAGACATCTTCCATCTGCTGGTTCACTCCTTAAATGGCCTCAAGGACAAGGGCTTGGGCCAGGCTGAGGCCAGGAGCCAGGTCTCCCAACTGGGTGCAGGGGCCCAAGCACTTGGGCCATCCTCCGCTGCTTTCCCAGGTGCATTAGCAGGGAGCTGGATTGGAGCAGCCAGGATTCAAACAGGTGTCCATATGGGATACTGGCACAGCAAACAGTGGCTTAACCCGCTGCCTTCACAGCGCCGGTCCTACCCTGTTATACTTTTTTTTTTTTTTTTTTGACAGGCAGAGTGGACAGTGAGAGAGAGAGACAGAGAGAAAGGTCTTCCTTTGCTGTTGGTTCACCCTCCAATGGCCGCCGCGGCCGGCGTACTGTGGCCGGCGCACCGCGCTGATCCGAAGGCAGGAGCCAGGGCTTATCCTGGTCTCCCATGGGGTGCAGGGCCCAAGCATTTGGGCCATCCTCCACTGCACTCCCGGGCCACAGCAGAGAGCTGGCCTGGAAGAGGGGCAACCAGGACAGAATCCAGCGCCCAGACCAGGACTAGAACCTGGTGTGCCGGCGGCGCCGCAAGGCGGAGGATTAGCCTAGTGAGCCGCGGCGCTGGCCTTGTTATACTCTTACACACAGGAAGACAAGGACCTGGACTAAGTCTTACTGGGGCTCTCAATCCCCACAACATCACCCCATGGAGTGCCTAGCCTGGGGGAAGAGGGCCAAGCACTTGCCCAAACCAAGGCAGGCGTCTGTCCTCTGGCCTTCGCAGCATCCCATGCACACTCGGGCATTGTTCTTACCACTCTGCCATCACTGGGTTACATCTCCCATCTCCCCTTCTCTGCGGTGAACTCCTGGAGGGCCGGGCCTGAGCCTTTCATGTCTGTGTCCCCCGCACCTGGCACCCAAGCGAATGCCTAATAAGTGCCTCACAAATGAGGAAGGAGTTGACAATAGAGTCATAAACAGTTCCCCTCTGCTGGCCTCTCCACTTCACAGCAGCTTCCAAGTTCTGCCCAGTCCTCCCTACTCCAGAGTTTCCCTTCATGGTTGAGCCCATCTCCTCTTCCCCAGGACCCTCACAACAGCTGCTCCCCAGTCTTGGGCGCCTTTTCTCTCTCTCCGAGCCTGCTCAGCACACTGTCCTCTCACTGGCAGCTCACTCCTAGCTCAAAGTGAGCAATAGCACCCCTACCTCCAAGTAGTCCTCCTCAGAGTGGTCCTCAGCCCACCAGCCACAGACTTCCTGGAATGAGGTGCCTGTTAAAGCTGCAGATGTCTGCAGGAGCCAGCACTGTGGCAGGGTGAGGTAAGCCACCACTTGCAACACTACATCCTACATCAGAGCACCAGCTAGAGTCCCGGCTACTCAGCTTCCCATCCAGCTCCCTGCTAATGCACCCAAGAAAGCAACAGATGATGGCCCAAGTGTGTGAGTCTCTGCCATGAACGTGGGAAACCCAGATGGAGTTCTAGGCTCCTGGCTTTAGCCTGGATCAGCCCCAAGCATTGTGGCCACTTGGGGCATGAACCAGCAGATGGAAGAAAGATCTCCTTATCTCTGCCTCTACCTCTCATTCTGTGACTCTGCCTTTCTAATAAATAATTTTTTTATTTATTTGACCGGTAGAGCTACAGACAGTGAGAGAGAGAGAGACAGAGAGAAAGGTCTTCCTTCCATTGGTTCATTCCCCAAATGGCCGCTACAGCCGGCGCTGCACTGATCCGAAGCCAGGAGCCAGGTGCTTTCTCCTGGCCTCCCATGCGGGTGCAGGGATCGAAGCACTTGGGCCATCCTCCACTGCCCTCCTGGGCCACAGAAGAGAGCTAGACCGGAAGAGGAGCAACCAGGACTAGAACCCGGCACCCATATGGGATGCCAGTACCGCAGGCGGAGGATTAACCATGTGTGCCATGGTGCCGGCCCCCAAATAAATAATTAAAAAAAAAATAAATGCAACCCTATAGATCCTGGAGCAAGTGTTGTGGTGCAGTGGGTTAAACTGACATCTCAACACCACAGTGCCTAGGATTGATACCCATATCTGCTTCCGATCCAGCTTCCTGCTAATGCACACCCTGGAAGGCAGCAGATAATGGCTCAAGTACTTGGGTCCCTTCCACCCACGTGAGAGACCCAGGTGGAATTTTGAGCTCCTGGCTTCAGCCTGGCCCTGTCCTAGCTATTGTGGGCATTTGGGAAGTGAACCAGAAGATGGAAGATTCTCTCTCTCTCTCTCTCTTTCTCTCTCCCTTCCTTCCTCGCCCCCCCTTTCAAATAAGTAAATAAACTTACAATAAAACTACAGACATGTGGGCCCCATCGCCACCTCATGGACACAGCACCCCAAGAAACCAAGTAATTATCAAAGTTGAGAGCTGCTTTTCTCTCATTCTACTTATGAGTACCTGGAGGACAGCAACTACATCCCAAGATCGTCCTGCTCGACTCACATCATACTTGCCTAGTTCCTTGGGAGGTTCAAAGCAGAGTGTCCAGTTTGATTGACAGGGCCACAAAAGCAGCCACATTTGGGACAATTGGGAATTTCCCTCAGGGCAACATCTCAAAAGCCTCCCCTCACATAGGAAACAGGGTGAGAAGGGGGAGTCTGTGGCAAAATGATACATGTTCCCACCGTAGAGGTTCAAGTCCCAGTTCTGTCTCTGTGAGACCTCAGCAAGTTTGTTCCGGTTTTAACCAACCTCATTCTGGTTTATAAATTCCCCCATCTCTAAAAAAAGTGCTTACATAAAGCAAAATGTATGAACATGTCTGGAATCATCTGAGAGGCAGAGAGAGACAGACACACAAACAGCATTTCCTATCTGCTGATTCACTCCTTAAATACCTGCAATGGCCAGGACTGGGCCAGACCAAAGCCTGGAGCCAAGACTCAACCTAGGTCTCCTATGTGGGTTGCAGGCATCTAAGTACACGAACCATCACTATGCTTCCCATGGTCTATGCCGGCAGGAAACTGAAATCTGGAGCCAGAATCAAGAATCAAACCCAGGCGGTCTGACACGAGACACAGGTGTTATAACTAATGTCTTAAACAGTAGGCCACAGGCGCATCCATTCACTCACTCTTTTAAAAAGATACTTGATAAGCACCTATAACATGCCGAGCACTGAGGGAAATGCAGAAATGCATCGAGGTCTTGCTGGCTAGGCAGCCTGTGAAGACCAGGAACGCCCTACAGAAAACCTGCTGAGGATGATGAGGGAAGAGTGGGCATGCTGAGGACAGAAGGGGGGCTTCTCACTCTGCCTGAGGTCAGGAAGCCCTGAGGGAAGAGTGGGGCAGCACCCTGGTGGAGGAACAAGTAGAATGCATGGAAGTGTGAAAGGCCAGTTCTGAGAAGAGGTAGTTCTGGCTCGGGACGGCCGGAGAACAGGATGGACGTGGGCGGCCCGTCTGCAGAAGCAGAAGCACCTTGCATGCTAAGCTGAAAGTCTTCATCCCCGGGGCCACAGATCACAAAAGAATTGAGAGCAGAGAAGCGACTTGATTGGAATTGCAACTAGGAGGGCTGTCTGTGGCTGTGAGGACAGAGAGCAGCAGGTGCGACTGCTGCCGAAGGCCAGGCGAGAGTCAATGAGGAGAACGTGGGCTGGTGTGGGCTGCTCGTCACCACGCATTAGCCAACCACGTGCATGTGAAAGAGGCTGACTTACAAGAATCTGCTCCTCAAAGCCCAGCTAAGTCCATGGCCAACTTCCACTTCCCTCCGGATGCTTTCACTTCTGAGGCGTCTCGTTCTGAGTCAAGATTCCTCCTCCTGAACATGGGACTTTCCAGGAGGATCACAGCTCCTTCGGTGCCTCCACTCGGCCTGGGATGTGCAGGATCTGTGCTGTCGGGGGAGCATGCCAGCTCCTCTGGAGAAGGACGGCCATGTGTTCCCTGTGGAGCCTTCTTCTCTGGGAAGGTAAGTGGGGTCTCCTAATCCCAGTGAAAACTCAGGAACTGGGGGTGAGGAGGCAGGGAAGAGCGGGCAATGGTGAAAGCTAGACAGATACAGGAGATGCAGGTCCGGCAGGAGGAGATGGCAGCACTAGGAGCATCAGTGTTGGGCAGAAAAAGGCTGGTGGGTGGCCCAAGGCAGTTGGAACTGAGCTAGTTTGGGGAGAAAGTTAAGTGTGAGAATGGTGAGGACTTGGCACTGTCAACACATAGAAATTTTAGATTTAGTAGGGGAAGAGAAGGCAGAGTGAGGTTCCCTGAGATCTGAGAAAAGTATGTTTTCAGCAGCCTGTGGGGGAAGCTGAGGTTCCCCCAACACACACCCCTGCAGGCCTGTGTAAGAGGAGGTGGACACTGAGTAGGGATGAGAGAAAACGGCCAGCCATGGTGGTGACCCCAAGTGAACCTGGGGTGGCAGACAATGCTGCAATGTTGGAGTGGTTGACACATAGATCGCTTCGACACTGGGTGATCCTGCCACAAGTCCAGTGTCTCAGTTCCCCTCAATGGTCAGCAAGTGGCCATGGGTCAGCGCTGAAGGGCCAGGGATGGAAGTCATGGGGGCTGGCAAAGGCCAGAACATCAATGTTTACAACAGAGAATCTGAGGGACTTTGACGCTACTGTGTCCAGAGTCCTGCCAAGTTTCCTGGCTCAGAGAGCACAAAAGCCTTCTAGATTGCTTCAACATTTCTAAACATTTACAGGAAATCACACGTTTAGTCCTAAAAAAAAAAAAAAAAACTCAATCTGATTCACGAAATCTTTTAATACAGAGGACATTGTCCTGGACACTAGACATGTGATTTTCTTAAATATTTTACAAGGCTCTTACAGTACAAGAGAGCAATGCAAGTGATCTGGTGTAGATGCCTTGTTCTACAGGCAAGCCCACCGAAGCCTTGAGAGGGAGGGTGATGCACTGACAGTCACGTGGCTGCCTTGTGGCAGAGCCCAGACAGAATACAAGCAAGGTCTCACCTGTGTCTTGTGCAATTCTCTCTGTATGTTACTTCTCTGCTCTGCGTTCCCACTGAAGCCAACTCTAGTCAGGACAGAGATGGCGGGGCCGGGAAGGCAGTGAGAGGGATGAGAGACTGGAGTTCCCGTGGCTGGCTGGGTGACCACACAGAACATGCCTCCTTCATCAAACTCCCAGCACTTGCTTGTGTTATACTCAGGTCTTAGCTGCTCTGCCTCCCAGTGCCTACCCCTGTGCCAGGCATAGGGTCAGTCCTCAGAAAATCCATTCACTCATTCAGTTCAATGTACAGAGCTCCTACAGTGTGGTCACAAACCAGGGTGGGCACTGGGAGGACGCAGATGAATAGAAGGGACCCCCCTGGAGCTCCCAGTCTATGGGAGATGCTGACTCACACACTGCCCATAATAATAGCAGGACATGGTCAGTCTTGGTGGTGATCCCAGGCCACCATGGGAACACAGAGCGTGTGCAACTTGCAGCAAGGGGTGGGAGAGGTCAGCCCAGGCAGTGATGCTTCGAGAACAAGCAGACATTAACCAGCAAAAACATCAGCAAAGCTCTCCAAGCAGAGGTGCCTTCTGCTCATGGTGAACACAAGTACAGTCCCCAAGATGTTCAGTATCTAGCCGTCTCAGTACCCTCCCCCAAGCATGAACAGGAGGAGTCCTCTTCCACATCACTGAGAATGGCACCCAATGGGTCCCACGGACCTGGGAGCCATCCCAGCTCCTTTTTCACCTTCCCGCCCCAGATCTAACCTATTGCCAAGCCCTGCTGATTTCACCATGCTTCGCTCTCTCGGGTTCTCCCATCCCTGCCCATCCCCATCTTCCCTTCCTCGGTTCAAGTCCCCATCACCTGTCCCTTGCATTAACACAGCCTCCATGCTGCCTCACCTCCTCTACACCTCTGCTAGAGAGATCTTTCTAACCGTGCAGCTAATCATGTTACGCTCTGTCTGCGACTCCCCATCGCTCTTAGGACAAAGCCCAGCCCTCACTGCTGCTTTCAGGGCCCTGCGTGATCCGGCTCCTGCCAACTCTGCAGTGTAATTTCCTATTCCCCTGCAGAGAGCTACTTTCAGTTCCCCAGTGCACAGGCCTCTGTGCACGCTGTTCCCTCCGCCTATCACACTTGCCCATCACCATCCCTGCTCCCGGCAGTCTGGCTTGGCCTGGCTCCTGTCCCTTCCCCCTTCAGATCTCAGCTTAACCATTTCTTCTCTGAGCCTCTCAAGGCTGGGTGAGGTCCTCCTATCAGCCTACCTGTGTTTTCCCAGGGCATCCCATTTTTTTTTCCCCCTCTCCCACCCCTTGCTACAAGTTGCACACGCTCTGTGTTCCCATGGTGGCCTGGGATCACCACCAAGACTGACCATGTCCTGCTATTATTATGGGCAGTGTGTGAGTCAGCATCTCCCATAGACTGGGAGCCCCAGTGGGGTCCCTTCTATTCATCTGTGTACCCCCAGTGTCCACCCTTGTGGTACTTAACACAATTTATTTTAATGGTTTGTTTGAGTGTCTAGATCCCTCTGGGAGCTCTATGGGTGCAGGGATAGAATTCTCTTCCTGTTTCACCCTTGCCACTTAGCACAATGCCTGCTCACCTTGAGCGGTGGGAATGTAGGTGGCGGGACTCTAATTCACCCCACAGCAGTTCAGCTGTATGCGGGACAGGGGCGGGGAGCAGCCTGGGGCCAGCAGTGACTGGGGGCTCTGTTCTTGCAGCACTCCTGCCCACAGCAGCTACTGGCGCCCAGGTGTTGAGCATGGTCGGTAGCTCGGCGCTGCTGGCGGCCCAGCATCCCCCTGGCTTCCAAGTCCGAGAGGCCATCTGGAGATGTTTCTGGCCTTCAGAGGAGCTCCTGGCCACATTCTTCCGAGGCTCCCTGGAGACTCTGTACCACTCCCGCTTCCTGGGCCGAGCCCAGCTGCACACCAACCTCAGCCTGGAGCTCGGGCCACTAGAATCTGGAGACAGCGGCAACTTCTCTGTGCTGATGGTAGACATGGGAGGTCGGACCTTAACCCAGACCTTACAGCTCAAGGTATACGGTAAGTGCACCTGACCATGCTCCCCAACCCCTTTCCCCTCCCACAAAGCACCAGACAAGCAACCTGAGGCAAAGGAACTGGGGAGAGCTGGGTTTCAGAAACCTCTGTTGCTACTCCAGGGACAGCTGCTTCCCAGCAGTCACAGCTAAGAAAACTCCCCCAAGTACTCCCGGGACACTCCTGTCTGGAGCAGCATCCCACAGACCCACCTGGCCTCCAGCTCGGTCTTCCCCGTTTTCAGTAGCCTTGAACACATGCTTCACCTCTCTCATCTGTCCAGTGGCCACTACAATAGCACTGTGTCTGGTGCCTGTGAGGATGTCAGGCCCCGGCCATTACAATGGCAGAGCCTGGCCTGTGCTTCCTCGATTCTAAGGTATCAACATAGATCACAAGATGTGTCTTTATTTTATGGGCCACTAAAAGGAAAAGGGAAAAATCTTGCAAATCAAAGTATGGCACAATGTGTTTTTTTATTTAAAAATTAAATTTAAATTAAATGATACAATTTTTATATGTCTTAAAAGAGCTCTTTTAGAGAGAGTTTAACTACATATCATTCTCGGGTTCTCTCAGTCATTCATCCATGTAAAGCAAACCATCTCAAAACCTACAGGCTAGCCGGTGCTGCGGCTCACTAGGCTAATCCTCCGCCTTGCGGTGCCAGCACACCGGGTTCTAGTCCTGGTTGGGGCACCGGATTCTGTCCCGGTTGCCCCTCTTCCAGGCCAGCTCTCTGCTGTGGCCAGGGAAGTGCAGTGGAGGATGGCCCAAGTGCTTGGGCCCTGCACCCCATGGGAGACCAGGATAAGTACCTGGCTCCTGCCATCAGATCAGTGCGGTGCGCCGGCCACAGCGTGCCGGCCGCAGCAGCCATTGGAGGGTGAACCAACGGCAAAGGAAGACCTTTCTCTCTCTCTCTCTCTCTCTCTCTCTCACTGTCCACTCTGCCTGTCAAAAATTTAAAAAAAAAAAAACCTACAGGCTAAAAACAATAACTATTTTTATTTCTCACGATGCTGTGGAATGGCAGGGCCCAGTGGCGTGGGTCTCCCAAGTTCATTCATGCAGCTGCAGCACCACCCCAGTGGGGGTGGCGGAACCGGCAGGGGGTACTGGGTGGGCCTTCTTTTCCAACAACTCCATCTCCACCACCTCCACCACCTGTCTGCTTGTCTGAGGACTTGGGAAAGAGATGCAAGTGACCCCAAACCATTACCTCAGTAAAAACTTTGAAGAGAGAGAGAGAGAGAAGGGTAAATTCATGAACGGAAAGGAAGGAAGGCAGCCAGGAAAAGGGAGGCAGTGAAGGGGACAAAGACGGTACACAAACGGGGAGGCTGCTGACCGGCTGTCCTCGGGAACAGATGTGCAGTTACAGGGTGCCCTTTTGGGTGCATGCAGCCCCAAACCAGGCTGCAGGTCTCCCTCAACAAGCAGAGGGCCAGCGGGATTTCAGCACCCAGCCCCACCTGAGACCCCTGCAGTCCCCTCTGCCCAGTGCCCCTGTGCAGCCCTGGCGCCTCTCCCCTTCCGGATCTCAGCTGCCACATGTGTGAAATGAGGACATTGAATGCAATAATACACGCAGCACCCACACCACTAAGCTCTAAAATGCCTTGTTCCCAGCATCTGAATTACAGATTTTAAGGAAATTGCTGTTTTATTGCTTCCAAATACATAGCGTGATTAGAACTAATTGCACAGAGCTGCCAAGCAGCCGTCCTTAGGAGCTCTGCTTTGACAATAGATAAGAATGATTTGAATTAGCAGATCAGTTACTGGAAATGTCAATGGGTGTTTCTACTGTGCCTGATCATGTTTGGAAGCAACTTGTCCTCTTAAGTGGTGTAAATATCCCCCCTGTAATCCTTGTTTATACTATTAGTGTGCCCAGCAAATAATGTCTTTTTTCATATCACAAATCCCACCAGATTGAGCTGGCATTAATGAGGTTTTACTCTGCTTGACTTTGGAATGCTGTCACAGCCTGAGCCCTCCTGCTGTCACCAGAATGCTCTCCCGCTGGCCCCCCAATTTACTCATCAACCCATACGGGAAAGGGGAGCCACCGCTTCGGACAGCAGAACTCTGATGTGTTCAGTGGCCCAGGTATCGCACACCTGCTATTTGCCAGCCCGGGGAGCTAAGTTTATCAAGATAACGAGACAGAGCCCCCACCTCTGAGTTCCCCCTTCACAGTGTTTTGCATCCTTGTCATTATTTTCTTTATTATTCATAATCACTTGGAAGTGTCCTTCTTCCTCATCTATCTGTAAGCCCCAAAAGTCCAGGGATGTGTTCCTTTTCTGGCCTGACAATAAATGCTTGTCGCTGACTGATACCACATGAGTAGGGCTACAAAAAAGGCTAGACTGGGGTATCGGGGAAAGCTTCACCGTGAAAGTGTTACACAATGGGTCCAAGCTGGGCCTTGAGGAGTGGGTAGGAGTTTTCTAGGGGGACGAGAAGGGAAACGCCTATGTGTGCACAGAGGAGCCCTTTGAAAGCATGACAGATATGAAACAGCGTGAAACGTTCGGTGGACTGCAGACTAATTAGGATGGGCGAGCAGGACCAGCTGGAGAGGTTGACATGGAACGGTCATTGAAGGGTTTTGAATACCAGTCTCAAGAATTCAGCTTCTGGGGGCTAGCACTGTGGCTCAGCGGGTTAACGCCTTGGCCTGAAGTGCCGGCATCCCATATGGGCACCGGTTCTAGTCCCGGCTGTTCCTCTTCGATCCGGCTCTCTGCTATGGCCTGGGAAAGCAGTAAAAGATGGCCGAAGTCCTTGGGCCCCTGTACCCAAGTGGGAGACCCGGACGAAGCTCCTGGCTCCGGATTGGCACAGCTCCGGCCATTGCAACCAATTGAGGGGTGAACCATCAGATGGAAGACCCCTCCCTCTGCTTCTACTCTCTGTGTAATTCCGACTTTCAAATAAATAAATAAATCTTAAAAAAAAAAAAAAAAAGAATTCAGCTTCTGTCCTATGGACAGTGGAAGCCAAGTAAGGGTTCAGGAACAAGCAATGCCTGGTCAGAGGTGGCCTCTAACCCTGCAGAAAGCCCAGGGCCCCAGCTGTCAGCCCTGCTGGGTACTCCTCTAACCTACACCTCTTCTTGCCCAGATGTAGTGCCCAGGCCGGTGATACAAGTGTTCACCGCGGTAGCAGAGGAAGCTCAATTCCCCAAAGCCTGCCAGGTCTTCCTGTCCTGCTGGGCCTCCAACATCAGTGACATAACCTACAGCTGGCGACGGGATGGGACAGCAGACTCCGGTGTCGAACCACACAGCCTGTTCGTGGACGGACAGGTGCTGAGCATTTCCCTGGGACCAGGAGACAGGGACGTGGCCTACTCCTGCATTGTCTCCAACCCTGTCAGCTGGAACTTGGCCACAGTCACCCCCTGGGAGAGCTGCCATCATGAGGCAGGTAGGCCAAGGGCCAGGGATCAATGGTTGGGGACTACAAGACACCAAGTCCACCCCTGACCCTACCCCTTTATGTCCAGCACCAGGAAACACCTCCTACAAAGATGTGCTATTGGTGGTGGTGCCAGTCTCACTGCTCCTGATCCTCGTTGGTCTCTTCTTTGCCTGGCAGTGTGGCCGCTGCTCAGGTAGGCGTCATGCAGGTGCAGGAGGTGGGGGGAGGAGCTGGACTTACCGGGGCTCAGAGTGAAATGGGATCTCCTCTTACCTAGGCTCAGGTGACCTGCCTCTCCTTTCCTCTCCCACCTCTCCATCTTATACTTTGGTCTCCAACGAGAAGTCAGTCTCCAAACTCGAGGTTTCACTTGTAGTTCTCCAGATGAATTATACTCTCACAGACATCACCAGGCCTTTTATTCATTCTATTCCCTCTGCCTGCAATAGACTTTCCATTATTTTCCAGTCAACTTCCCCTCTTCATTTAGCCATCTTCTGCTCAATCAGATATATATTTGAGAGACAGACAGGGAAAGACAGAGAGAGATCTTCCATCCACTGGTTCCTTCCCCAAATGCCTGCAACAGCCAGGACTGGGCCAGGCCAATGCCATGAACCCAGAATTCAATCCAGGTCTCCCAGTTGATTGCCAGGTACTTGAACCATCACCTGCTCCCTCCCAGGGTGAGCATTATCAGGAAGTTAGAATCGGAGAGAAACAGGGACTCCAACTGGGGCACTGTGATATGTGATGTGGGCATCTCAAGCAGCGTCTTAACCTCTGCGCCAACTACACAGCCTGCTCCCCAGTCACCCTCACACTGCGTGGGCTCTAGAGAGGCTCTCCTGACTTCCCCTTATCCCTTTCAGACTGGCTAATGTCCTCCCTTTTATCTCCACTGCTTATCCGGTCTCGGAAGCCAATACACTCCTCCCCCTGCTACCTTCTAATCCCTCTAAGGGCAGAAGCTATGTCGCCGCAGGGCATTCCCAGTCATTCCTGGAACCACAGTTCCTGGGACAGAAGTGGTGGCAGTAAACACTTTTTCAGTGAAAATAGAGATGAATCCTGGCTCCTTCTTGCCTGCCCTCCCCCACCCCTCCCCAGTAATGTCTCCCGCAGAGAATCCCCTCTGACCAGTGGCCACCTTCCTGAGAAGACAAATGCAAGGGGAGCTCTAATCAGACCACATTCTGAGCTCTACAGCCAGCTCCGCCCTCACCTCTGCCCCAGGAAGCCCTGTCCTTGAAGGAACCAGCCGACTGACCTGGGCTTTATGGCTACTTCCACCTAGCCTGCCTGAACTTGCTGACTCCAAGGTCAGCTAAGAATAGGCACCAGTCTTTGTTATGGTGTGTGTGTCTTCTGACAGTCTTAGCCCAGTCACTAAGCATGGCAGTGGGCAGGTGGCCCACTCCTGCTTATTCTTTCTGGGGGTGGGGGTGGGGTGAGGGAGCAGCTGAGGCTCCACCTGGAGGCCCGGTAGGCCAGCATGAGGGTCTCTGGCCCTGGCTTTTGCCCCCAGAGAGTCCCCAGGATTCAGGATCAGCAGGTGAAATCCAGGAAAACATTTTTATTTTTAACAGCTTTATTAAGATACAATTCACACACCAGGCAATTCACCTATTTATAGCACACAATTCAGTGGCTTTAGTATATTCAAGGAGTTGTGCATCCATCACCACAACCAATTTTAGAACATTTCATTACCCCAAAAAGAAACCCCACGTTCCCTTAGTCATTACCCCAATTCCCTCAATCCTCCTGCAGCCCTAGGCAACTACTAATCTCCTTTCAGTCTCTCTATGCTTTGTCTACTCTGGTCATTTCACATAAATGGAATCACACACCATGTGGTCCTTTGGGGCTCAGTTCTTGCACTTAGCCTAATGTCTTCAAGGTTCAGAAGAGAACAGCTTTGGCCTCTGAAAAAGGACATGGAGGTCCCAACCACCAAAGGAAAGGAAAGGAAAGACCCCACACAGGGAGCCAAGAGGCTGCACCCAGCTCTGCCTTGTGGCTTCTGGCCATTCAACCAGGTCTACCCCAGTCCTGACTTTGCAGACCTCCCATTGTTAAAGGTATGCTGTAGGTGCACATCAAGGTTGGACATCAGGAAGAACTTTCTGGTCTTGAGAAGTCTCCTTTCTCAGAGTCATGTAAGTCAAGGAGAGATGTTTCTTTGCCCCAGGTCTTCTAGGGCCAGTGGGGCCAGGCTGCATGCTAAGATTCCAAGCACCAAAGGGGTAACTTTCTCTGTGATCTCCTCACCAGGGAAAAAGAAAAAGGACGTCTGTGCTGAGGGAACGACTCCAGAAGCAGAGAGCCCTCTTGTGTAAGATCTGCCATGGAGAATGGTGAAATCTGACACCTGGACCACCAGGAACCCCGCTGCCCATGCACAGGACGCTCTAGGACAGGGCAGGTGCTTGGAAGCCACCATGGACCTCATACCTCCCATGTCACTCCACCCTGCCTCCCAGGAGCAGTGCAGGGAGCTGTCATGACGGGTGACAAAAAGCACTGGCATGGGACGGGTATTGTGGCATAGCAGGTTAAGCTGCTACCTGGGAAACTCATATTCTGTATCCACGTGCCCGTTTCAAGCCCAGCTACTCCACTTCTGATTCAGCTCTCTGCTAATGCACCTGAGAAGCAGCAGATGATGACTAAAGTGCCTGAGCTCTTGCCTCCCATGCGGGGAATGCAGATGGAGTTCCAGGCTCCTGACTTCAGCCTGGCTCAGCCCCAGCTGTTGTGGCGTTTTGGGAAGTGAACCAGTAAAAGGAAGATTCTCTCTCTCTCTCTCTCTCTCTCTCTCTCTCTCTCTCTCTCTCGGTGTGTGTGTGTGTGATTCTGCTATTCTACCTTTCAAACAAACAAATAAATCTTTAAAAATAAATAAAATCACTGCCACAACCCACCATACATCCCCTTCTTTCTCCTCACTTTTCATGTCCTGGCTCTACTCTGGACAAGATAGGACTAACGAAGTGTTCTCCAAAGGACACTGGAAGTTCTCAAGGACCCACAGGGACTCTGACTGTCTAATGCACTCATTCTCCACCGCTGTTTATAAATTATTAACCATGGAGCTGCTGTAGTGTCATAGCGGGTAAAGCTGGCACCTGTGACATGGGCATCCTATGTGGGCACGGGTTCTTGTCCTGGCTGCTCCACTTCTGATCCAGCTCCCTGCTAACAGCCTGGGAAATGCAGTAGAAGATGGCCCAAATGCTTAAGGCCCCTGCCACCCCCATGGGAGACCCAAATGAAGCTCCTGGCTCCTGGCCCAGCCCTGACCATGGCAACCATCTGGGGAGTGAGCCAGCAGATAAACTATCTCTCTCCCTTTCTCTCTTTTTCTCTCTCTCCTTCTCCATGACTTTCAAATAAATAAATCTTTTAAAAATTATTAACCAGCTGTTATTAAAGCTTGAGTCCTAGGCTGTCAAAGACATTAAACGTTTGAACTAACAAAGAGACGCTGCATCATCCACTACTGGACCCAGCCCCAGCCCTGTAGTTTGAAATCATGATGCTTTCTAATAAGCGTGAGCAAAAGTCTAGAAGAGGTGGAGGACTGGGATTTGTCAGATGACCTTTCGGGTCATCTGAATTCACAGCCACTTGAAGGTAAAATGCAGGTATTGATGACCAAGGATAGTTGACACCCAAGTTGAGATGGGTGCCATTTTGCAGGTAACACCCCACTAACAGACATCGTCACCATCTCCATCATTGTACCTCCTGCAAGATCTGGGAGTGGTGTTTGAAATTCTCTCCCTACTCTCTAGCACAAGGATGAGGAAACACAATCTTGCGTTTGCCCTAGCCAATAGGGTGTTCTTGAACACCTTCAGAGAAGCAGCTCAGCTCAGGATGAGTTAGTCTACCTGACACTGAGAGTGAAATGCAGAAGGAAAATTATGCAGGGAAAAGAGTTGGGCTGTTCTAGATTCTGCCACCTTCAATTTCAGATGCAAGAATAGAAGGTGACCCAAGTACAAGGGCAGGGGACAAAGACCCTACCATTCAGTGAGGGATTGTTGAGGTCACTCCAACATGTAGAACAAATGCTATTGGTTGCAGCTGCCTTTGGAAAAACACATTCTGTCACTGATTCATAGAAAAACTCCGATCTGTTGCCCTTGGAAAAATCGAGATGACTTAAACTTTCCTTAGGGATTAGCAGCTGGTAAGGTTCATGGTCATTCCCATCGTGGTATAATTGGATTTTTCTTCTGGGTCCTCACTGAAGTTTTGACAGGAGAGGAAGGAGACATTGAAGAAACAGGGTTGGTTTTGAAATACGCCTATTTTTCTGGGATGGCTTCAATCTCTCCAGCCTGGGCAGTCACTTCACTTTGAACGAATGATCAGCCCAGGTGATGTCCAAATCCACAGTGCTACTCCTCCACTCTGCCCCTGGCCTTTCCCGGCCTGGCTCTTCTCAGAGGTGCCATGCTGGTCACCTGCCTTCCCTAGCCCTTGTTCCTTCCCTGCACCCACTGCTCTCCTATCACTTCCCCCCAGTCTACCTGAACAGGGCACATGGTCACTCCACCTGGAAGCCTGTGCTGCCCTCACCTGCCACCCGGAGCTAGACCTCATGCCTGGTCACTGAATCATGCCAAAACCTAGCCTCGGTCCCTAAAAATAATGGGGAAAAGAAAGCCCAGCATCCAACAATGAGCCATAGTGGTTCTGTGGGAGAAAACACACACCACACCTCACCTTCATGCCCTTCATCCTCAAGGCTCCACCTCAGATCAGAGCAGCTCTGGGTGGGGTGGGGCCCACAGTTCTCTTTTCACAGGGTGACTCTTAGCAACCTCCTTTAGACGGTGGTTTTGTAGTGAGATACACCAGTCCCTCTTTGAACAGGTCCATGGTGTTCAAATAAACTAATGCTCCCATCCCAAATGACTCACTTGTCAACTAGGAGACTAATTAACCAGACAGGATCCACTGAAAAGCGCAAGACAGCTTTGTGAGATTAGTTCTTCGGCTAATAAGCATTAGATAGATGCTTTGAAAAGCATGCCAGAGCAAATATGAACTGAAGACGCAGCATGAGCTGTGTACACTTTGAGGAACTGGGAATTCACTTTGAACAAAGCACACCCTTGCCTTCATGGAGTTTATGTTCTAGATCATGGAGATCGACCCGTGTACATTGGATGTTGACAGGTTCCATCAAGAAAGAGAACTGTGTGTTGTGAGAAGGCAGTTGGAGAATGCTTTCTGATGACAGAGGCCCAGGGAAGTGAAAGGTGAGCCACACAGTGCCGAACAGTGTTCCAGACAGAAGGCCCAGAAGAATGCAAAAGCCCAGAAGTGAGAGTCTGGTTGGAATTCACAAAGCATAGCATGGAGGCCAGAGTGGCTGGATCCAAACAGGGGAGGGAGAACGGGGAAGCGTCAAGAAAGATGGCCAAGGTCCACAATCATGTGGGATCTCATGGTCTTTAGAAGACCCTTTCCTTGGTGTTAGGGTAGCAGGGAAAGCTGCTCATCAGTCCAGGGGTCAGATTCCTCCCAGAACAACCATTACGTCATTGGGCACAGTAGCTTTGTGGCCAAGCCAGAACCTTCTCCAAATCTACTGTCACTTTTCCTTGTTTTCAGTTTATTTTCCTTGATCAACAGTCTTTGGAACTGTCCTGCTACACAAAGGATAAATATAAGAGCTACTAGGGTAAAGGAGGCGTGTAACATGATGTCTGGGACAGGGGGCATAGCAAAAGAGAAAGGTAGACAGGATTTTCTTTCATCAATGGCTATATGAACACCTAATGCCTTGTTAAAAGGAACAACAAGGGGTAGTTAAGCTACCACATGGGATGCCTGCATCCCATATCAGAGCACCTGGGATCCAATGCATTCCAGCTGCCTGCTAATGTACACCCTGGGAGGCAGGAGGTGATGTCTAAGGACTTAGCCCCCTGCCACCCACATGGGAGATCTGGATGTAGTTCCTAACTCCTGGACCAGCTTTGGCTTCCGTAGGCATTTGGGATGTAAACAAGTGAATGGGAGATATTCTCTCCCTCTCTCTCTCTCTCTCTTCTCCCCCCACCCTGCCCTATCCTTATCTTTCAAAAATATTAGAAAAGAAAACTGCTCCAAACATTAATGACATCTCAGGCAAATCTTCCTTCCATATTTAGTAAGAAGTAGCGCCTATTGGCTGCTCCTGGTGACTTTCCGATCTTTGGAGGAAGCACTGTCCCCTTCCAGATTGTACTCCATGTCTCCCTGCATCCATTCTGCACAGAGCCTGAAGGAAGAGCCGGTAAAACTGCAAAACACAACTATCCCAAGACCCAGACAAGTGGTAGTGACTGCCTCCCCTCAGCTGAGTTTCATGCCAATGGGACAGGCAAAGCACACAGTGGGGATACTCTCACTGCCTAGCTAGCCTGGGTCCAGTTCTTGGATCAATACTTCCAGAAAATTGGGAGGGATTCAAAAGAAGCTGACCAGAATGGTGAAATGTACAGAAACTCTATCCTATGAGAAACTATTAAAGAAATTGGTCATGTTTAGCCTGGAACAAAAACTCAGAGGGCCACACGTTCTCAAATACTTGCAAGGCTATTACATGAGGCCAGACTGTGTGACCAGGGCCACCGGAGCAACTCACAAAGAGACAGAAGTTGACTCATAAGAATAATAGGATCTTAAAGCTGGAAGGAAACTTTGCGGTTACTCAGTTCAGGTTTTTCATTTCTCAGGTGGAAAACCAAGGCCCAAAGAAGTTGTTGCTCCCCTAGGTTTATATAATTAGTCAGTGGCAGAGTCATAATTAGCTTCAGGTTATCTAAATCAGTCCAGCCCCTGACACTACAGCATACAACCAGGGAACAGACAACTTTCTAAAAACTTGAGACACCCAAATACGAAGTGAGCTGTTTCAGGGCATGTGCTTAAGCAGAAGCCATCTCAGAGCAATACTATAAGCAAGAGGTGCTGGCGCCGGGGTGTAGCAGGTAAAGCCGCCGTCTGCAGGGCCAACATCCCATATGGGCACCAGTTTGTATCATGGCTGCTCCTCTTCTGATCCAGCTCTCTGCTTGGCCTGGGGAAACAGTAAAAGATGGCCCAAGTCCTTAGGCCCCTGCACCCACATGGGAGACCTAGAAGAAGCTCCAGGCTCCTGGCTTCAGATAGAACTCAGCTCCAGCCATTGTGACCTTTTGGGGAGTGAACCAGAGGATGGAAGACCTCTCCTCTCTCTCTCTCTCTGCCTCTGCTTCTCTGTAACTCTGCCTCTCAAATAAATAAATAAAATCTTAAAATAAAAAAAGAATGAATTGTAAAGAAAGAATGAATATATAAACAGTGAACAAAAATGGCCAGTGAAAGGATTCTGTTAGTGTATCACGCAGAAGCTGTGCTTTCTCTAAAGACTTCTAGCTTCCTTTTTTCTGACATTTTTCTCAGTATGTTGTTTGGGGAAAATATCAGAACTAAAAGAAGGAGAAACTGTTGGGAAGTCGTAACACCATTACCAGGAAACATGCACAAAAACCAAGCAAATCAGTCAAACAAGTGAATGCAACATATCATTGCTTTAAAAATCATGATTGATGGAAAACATTTGTATTAGTCAAGGTTCTCTGGATGAGAGTAACGGGAACCAACCCTTGTCTTAACTGAAGTGCAAGAAGGAACTAGAAAGTTGTGGGTAACTCACAGCAGCAAACGTTGACAGCCAGGCCTCAGCAGGACACAGCCACGTGGCCTTGGGGCTGCAGGTCATGGATCGTTCTGTTCAGCATCCTGTTCCCCAGATGCTCCCTGAAGACGCAATTCCCAACCAACAGCTGGATTGGCCCCGCTGGGGTCAAGCACCCTCCTTTCTTGGGGAAGGGAGGAGCTGTTAGACATCTTGTCAGAAGGAGTAGCTGGGCCGGCGCCGCGGCTCACTAGGCTAATCCTCCGCCTTGCAGGGCCGGCACACCAGGTTCTAGTCCCGGTCGGGACGCCGGATTCTGTCCTGGTTGCCCCTCTTCCAGGCCAGCTCTCTGCTGTGGCCAGGGAGTGCAGTGGAGGATGGCCCAAGTCCTTGAGCCCTGCACCCCATGGGAGACCAGGAAAAGCACCTGGCTCCTGCCATCGGATCAGCGCAGTGCGCCAGCCGCAGCGGCCATTGGAGGGTGAACCAACGGCAAAAAAGAACACCTTTCTCTCTGTCTCTCTCTCTCACTGTCCACTCTGCCTGTCAAAAAAAAAAAAAAAAAAGGAGTAGTTGCTTCAACAGAATAAAGTCCTAAAAAAAGTTCAAGAAGGAATCTCTTGAACAGGAAATGCATCCCTCTCTTCATCCAGGAGGCATTCATTGAGCATCCACTGTGTTTCAGTACCACCAGGGTTCACAGATTACTACATATGAGCACCTGCTGTGTT